GAGGGCCGGCGCGTCGGGGCTGGGTCGCCAGCCCAGCCAACGGGCCTTCCTGCTTCCCTCCCCAGGGCGTCCCACCCCCAGGACCCGGTCTCCGTGGTGGAGGCGCGCAGGCTGGAGGCCACCCTCATCGGCGAGTGGGTGAAGGCTGCCCGGCAGGCGCAGCGGCCAGCCCTGCCAGACCCGAGGCTGAGGGGCGGCCCCGCCCACCGAGGCCAGGGAGGACTCGCGGCCAGTGTGGCTGGACCCGCCAGGCCTCCTCCTCGGTCCAGAGTGGTCAGCGCTGGCTTCCCTCAAGGAAGGGGCGAATAAATGGCGCTGCCTGCCCTTGTGTGTCCTCTGCCTTTGCGGGTCCCGCCGTGAAGGGGCTCAGGCCGGGTTTGCATGTGGAATGGATGTGGACTTTTGCAGCCTGCCCAGGGCCCGCTACCCCTCCCAGAGGTCCTGTCTCTGCGAGTGGTGCCACCCCTGACGTTCACGTCTTCCGGGACGTCCTCTCTTCAAAGCTGTGGGCTCTGACCAGCGGCCTTCTCCAGCAGAGGCCACGGGACACGCTCTCAGCCCCCGGGGGAACGCGCTGCTGTCCGCACGAGCCCCAGCCCTGGCCGTCCCTCCAGAGCGCACAGTTGGTGGCCTGGAGCCGGTGGAAGCCCAGCCCACCTCCTTCTCCTGGGCCAGGCACCGTCGTCCTTCGTGGAGACAGCAGGTGCGAGGCCACGTCCGTCTGCTCGCTTCCAGGCACCACAGGGGTCGGGAGCTCGAGTCTGGACAGAAGTCCCCAGGGCACCTGTTGTCTTGGGGGACACAGGGTGCTGCCATGGGGGTGCTGGAGGCCCAGGCACAGAAGGGAACTTTTCTTTTTGGAGCTGGAGTCTCTGCCACCCAGGTTGGAGTGCATTGGCATGCCCATGGCCACTGCAGCCTGCACCTGCTGGGCTGAGGCAGTCATTCCACTTCGGCCTCCCAAGTAGCTAGAACTGCAGGCATGTGCCGCCACAACCAGAGAGTTTTAAAAATTTTATTGTGCAGACCAGGTCTCACCAACTTGCCCAGGCTGGTCTCAAATCCCTGGGCTCAGGCAATCTCGCCTCAGCCTCCCAGAGTGCTGGGACCACAGGCGTGAGCCACCACAGCAGGCTAGGAGGGAACATCTCTTAAAAACCAAGGCCCAGCCCTCCCTCGGGTCAGGCAGCTCCACAGGGGTTTCCGCTGAGGCTGGTGGCCCTGCCCACGCTGCCGCCAGTTGACTCCCCAGGGCAGGGAATTTTCCAGAAATGGAGGTGGAGGATTCTTCATGCCAAACACGGGAGGGGGAGCTGGGCAGCCCTCAGAGACCATCTGGCCTAGGGGCAAGAGGGGATGCCAGCAGAGGCCAGGGTTGGCCCCAGGACGGCAGCACCCCTGCCAACACTGAAGAGCCGGCAGACGACTGTGCCACCACGACCTTGGCCGCTCGGGGGCAGACCCCTGCGGCCGAGGGGGCTCAGAGCCGGCCGGGACCCTGCCGTGCCTCCGGGTGCCGCCTGGCCCCCGTGTCCGCTGTGCACGCCCTCTGCCGGCCCAGCAGGGAGGCGGCCCCGCGGGAGACACCGGAGCAGAGCGCTGTTCTTGGTGGCCTCAGCCTGCCGACGC